ACCTTTATTTCCCTACCTTATTTCGTGCCCTTCCACTGACCTCTCCAGCTCTTTCTACTCAGTTTCCTTTATAAAATCCTTCTTGCCCCTGCCTTAAATTATAATCTCACTGGTACTGTGTCTTTAGCTCATGATTTTCTTTACGCTATAGAATCTCACTGCATAATCTCAGATGTTTTTTAGGTAACATTTTGTTGATGGCTTCCAAATGGGTGTGCATCTTCAGCTTTCGGACTTGAATATTCTGTGGATGGCTTCACATGTCATTCATTCCATCTTCTCAGTTTGTTCTTAAATATGACTCAACTCAAGCTTTTATCCCCATTTCTGCTACCTCTGTCCTGATTCAAGGTATCATCATCTGTCACCTAAATATACTTGAAGCAGGGAAATTGATTGCTTGATCTTTTCAAATCTGCTTTTTTTTACAAGGCTGGCAGAATGCTTTGGCAAAAATGCTTATCTGACTCAGTGACTGCACTTTTAAAAGCAAAACTTATGCACTTTTGAAAGCAAAACTTATCAGATCTCTGATAAGAATCCCCAAGAATAGGATACCTTGGAGTCTATTTGTATATACAAGTTCATTCTGTACGTACAGATTCTGATTTTCATCAGATTCAAAAACTTGCAGTCTACCAGAATTAAGTTTGAGCCCCTCTGCCTGATTCATAAAGTCCTCCATGACCTGGCTTTGATTTAGCAGTTGGTCACATTTCCCACTCTACTCTGATTTGCAGCAGTATTGAAGAATACAGTCTCTTACTGTCTTGTCCCACTACCTTTGTGCCTGCAAGAGTTACCTTCACTTGTTTCTGTGGCAGCTGTTAATTGCACTTTGCAACATTCACCAAACCGTTTCTGACTCCCCAGCCTCTTTAACAGTAATACTATCTTATGGACACTTTGATGATTTATAAAATACTATTATTTCACTGAATGGAAAAATGAACCAATTTTAATGAAAATAATTTACACCAATGTTAACATTAAAGATTGCGCTAGAGAGTTCAAAATCATTTTGTTTTTAGCATATAAAGAAATTTTACACCAGGCACAGTGGTCTACACCTCTAATCCCTGCACTTTGGGAGGCAAGAGGATCATTTGAGGTCAGTAGTTCGAGACCAGCCTGGCCTATATGGCAAAACCCCATCTCTACTAAAAATGCAAAAATTAACAAGGCATAATGGTACATGCCTATAATCCCAGCTACTCAGGAGGCTGAGGCAGGAGAATCACTTTAACTTGGGAGGCGAAGGTTGTAATGAGCCGAGATAGCACCAGTGC